CATGGCAGGAAATATTGTACAGACTCCATAGTTGGCATTAAAGCAGTTAGAGTAGACTACATTTTGGGAAGGACACTTCAGTTTACTCCCGCACACCAAACACATACTGGTAGGTTAATTGGCTCCTTTCTGAATTGTCCCTAGTTTGTGCATGTATGTAACCGTCCCCTCCGCTCTTCCAAAGACCTCCTGCTTTCCAGTGCCCTTGTCGACTCCTCCCATGCTCGCCTCCAGGACGTCTCTAGAGTCTCACCCATTCTATGGAACGCTTTACTCTTTATCCCAACCTGTCCTACTATATCCCACTCTGACTGCCTTTAGGCGATCCCTTAAGACTCATGTCTTCAGGGAAGCTTATCCCACCTCAACCTAATCACTCAACCATCACGTTCTCAAACAATTCATCCCCACACAGCTACCCCCTCATGTATCACTTGTCCCTCCATTTTAGATTGTAAGCCCTCAGGGGCAGAGCCCTCCTTACCATCTTGCCTTGAATTGTATTGAGAATGTAATGTCTTCCTTATATTTTTCAGAGAGACCGTTTCAAATATTTTTGGTTTGTTGTGGCAGTGGAAAAGATTGCATATTTGGAAATACAGAGCATGATTTACGCTACAGCAAACACTTTTATAGGCCCAACTTTGTAAAACATTATGTGTGGCACCTTTGCAGTGCTGGAGCACCAGAATAGGGCAGCAGAGGCAGCATGAGATGGTAATTGTGGCAGGCCAGCAGCGGTGTCAGGAGATGTTAGGTATAACAATGTTTTTGGGGCCAGATTCCAAGAAATAAATATTTGTTCGCATACCCTCAGAGGTTTTGTACTTATTGCTGACCCTGGACTGGTTCATTTTTACAAAAGTGAGCCGGCCAACTGTGTCAGGGCACAGGCAAATGTATTTCTCTGTCAAAAACTGCCCAGAGGGATTGTGTCGCCGATCCCTGCCTTGTCACGGTTCACCATTCTAGTCGCCTCTTTGAATGGTAAAAAGATGATGCACGCAGGGTGGCACATAAGAAAACCCCCCATTATTAGCCCTTCTAAGCTGCCTAACCACAGTTCAAAGCCCAGGAAGTGCATGATTGGTAATTGGTTGCTATGCTGGCAAACAATCACAATAGTTGACCAATTTTCCTGTGAACAACTTGAGTTTGGGTTAAATGCATGGTTAACCTGAACCCGAAGCTCATTCCTAATTTGCAGGTGCTGTGCAATCAGGACAGTGCAACCTGGCCAATGCCTTCATCTGATGTCTTTTTTTGTTTTGATGGGAGGGACAAGGGTTATTGGACTTTGAGTTGAAAGTGAAGACAACACTACCTCCCCTTCCCTCTTTTACAATTTTTATTTACTACTTAAATATGGGTATACTTTACAGATACAGGAATATGTGAAATACGAGTTGACCTTTTTAAAAAGTGCTTCTTCTTTTTCTACCTCCATATCATAGAAGTGTTTTTAAAGTTTCAAGGTGGTGAGTCTGTTCTCTTCATTCATGCTCATATTCATATCTGTGGCTGTGGGTTTGCCAGTGGCTTGCTGTTAATATATTAGGAATGCTTAAAACCTGTCTGTGCATGTTGGAGATCAATATAATGCACATTATTTGATTAGGAATAAAAAGGAAGATGTAATAGGCTGTAGAAGCTTGTCTGAGATACTTATCCGTTGAAATATTTAGAAGCACTTAAAGCTTCTCAGCAAATATATTTATCTAGCCCCACAGGAGAGCAATGAAACTGGGTGTAGAGAGCAGTTTTATTTATTTTTTTCTAAGCAAACTTTGTGTCCAAAGGCTTCATTTCATCCTACATCCCTGTTGGGTTTTTTTTTCCTCTAGTAACATTTATGGTACATTAACTGCAGAAGCTGTCACTCGAAGACTATGTTACAATGTAATAAGCTGACAAATTGTGCTCTGAATTTGTTTGTTTATACAGGTATGTGATCTATTATCTAGAATAGGAAATATGGACCTCTTATATTAGCCCTTTTCTTTATTTTTACTGTGAACTCTTTCTTATGTTTTTGTATATATTTGTCTTGTGATGTATATTTAATGGTGAACATTTACAAATGTTCTTGCTTTAGAGCATTACATTTAACACACACAAAACTTCAATTTCTGGGAAGATTATATAATCACTCATCAGTTTCTTATGTATCAGCAGGGTCTCTGCACTTGTTGGATGGTATTTTTATAGCAAGAGGGCCATAAGGATGTGGACCCTTTGCTCCTTTAATACCAAACCATATACCATTCAGCATCAGATGGGTCTGTGGAAGGCATAGCAATAGGGTCCATTGTCAAAACAGCGGCTTTCTGCTGATGGGCATGAAGTAGGGATGTTCAGATACCAGTATCTGTGCCGATAATTGGAATTTTCACTAGAACTACCAGGGTTGCAGTGGTTGGGCCCTGGCCTGGAATCATTAGTCTGTATTGTTTTAGAAAAACTGTCACATGACACTAAAAAAAAGGCATCATTAATTGGTATCTGTAAGTACTTGGACAAGTATCGGTACTTGTAAAAATGGTATCGGGTTCATCCCTAAGATAGATAGATAATATATTTATTAACAAATCGTGCATTAAAATGGTATCGATGCATCGCTTATATATATTTATTAAAATAAAAATATTACAATTAAAACAGGGATTCACAAATCCCAGGAGCCCCATAGCCAATGCTCCTTAAATATGACAGCTGCCTCCTAATGTTTGAGTTTTTCTCTAGTCTAGCCTTTCAACGGGGCTGGAATATTATCAGTATTTGTACTAGTACCAAGTACGGTACTTGGTATCTGTGCATCCCTAGCATCAAGCTGGGTGTGGGTGCAGGGGTGGGGGTTATTTGTACCCGTTGGGGCAGGTAAATTGCTGCTTCTACTCTATGTAAAATCAATGTAATGTACAATATATTTTTTTTAATTTGTATTAAACCCCCCTTACTTAATAAAAATAATACATTAAGTTAATCCAAGCCTTCTAAAAACCTTTAGTAGTAGCCTCATATATTTACTAGCCTCACTGGATGAGGGGAGGTGCTGTGACATCACTACCCTTTGTCCAATAAGAAAATACCTAGTATTCAATGATAAAAATACTAGCTGGTCATTGAATGGCCACTGTACTAAGTTAGCAACCCTATTTGTTTTCACAGAAGAGAGGAAGATGCTCAGTACAGCAGCAGTACAGGACCTACAGCTACTACAGTGTTTTACAGGATTCCCGGTGGCCCTACCATGGATAAAAAATTTTACTTGCATTGTGCAAAACTGGACCACTGTAAGCCTACATAAATCTTTTATAGCTGGAGTTCAGCTTTAAGCAGTCAGACTAGTAAAGAAAATTATTGTCATGTTCACATTTCTGAAAAGAAAAGATCACTCCTGCATTGATCATCTAGTGATTCGGTATAGACTAAAAAAAAAAATAGTGTTTGTAAAAATAGCATTTGGCACATGCTGCTATTAATGCTTACCTTGTGAAGCAGTGGTATGTGTACCTCTGGGATATCGTATGACAGCTTTAATGGTACCCCTGCTGGTCCAGTTAAATCCTGTATTCTACTTTTGAAAGTTTAATTAATTCCAAAACTTATATGAAACAAAATTAATTAATATTTGGTTGTAAGGTGTAAGGCCATATGTAAATTTGAGCAAAAATATATTCTACTGTGATACTCAAGAAACTGAAATGCATCTAAAGTAATTTTTGTAATATAGAGGTACAAAATATTACAAAGTGGAAAAACACTAAAGTAGGGTATACACATTTCGATTTTCTTAGCCTGCTGAATGAAGAATATAAAACAGATTCCGCTATTAACGCTTACAAGCGTTGAACAAGGAATCTCCCTCTGTTTACATTGAATTCCACTAGCCGCTGCCAGAATACCTGAACAGAGCGGGCAGCTCGTGAGCTACTCGCTGTGTTCGGCCGAGAATTTTCTGACATGCTCCTTCAATCAGCTGATCGAGGGATGCCAGTCGGAAAGGTGCCGACAGCGGTACCCATGCTTCTAATTTTGGCCAGTTCATCAAGAACCGGTTGAAGTTCGAAGCGTGTATTCCCGGCTTAAGCCAGAGCACTAATTTTTGTTCAGCCAATTAAAATTATTTTAGCTTCCTAAGTACATCTCATAATTTCATGACCATTTTTTCCAAAGGACAAGTCAACCAGCTGGATTGCTCCTGTTTAGTTGAAAAACATCCTGCTTGTACCAGTACAATAACCTGTCATTTATACACCGGTACACTTGGTGATCTCTCTATAGTATAGCACTGTTAAGTTCAGTAATATTTGTCACCCAACACTCTGGTTTAGATTCCTTGTAGCCACCACAAGATCAGTAGTGCAAGACATTGGATAATGAGAAGTTCTTTTTATTTCACAAAAGTTTTATTGTTTTCAGATAAACATTACAACAAAACAGGAAACAAGCTTATGTAGTTATGCTGGCTCAGCAGCCAGGAGTGTACATCAAAGCAGTCGGACGGTGTTATGGAGATAAGTTGAATAACAATAACTAGGAGGGACTAGTCTATTAGAGCCGTTGGCGCAGTCCAATAGAACAATCAACTTTGGTCTAATTCTGGGGGGCTGAGCCCAGAAGTAAAGAACTATATGGAGGGAATAGGGTGGGAAAGGGGGTAGGATGTTACACAGGGAGATGTGGACAGTATATAGAGTGGCTGTCATGTCCTGGGGATCAAGGAGAGGGGGAGAGAAGTATAGGGTAGGTACAAATTCTAGAATAAAAGAAGTTTTTAAATTCTAGAAGCTCTTTTTAAACAGAAATATAACATATATATATATATATATATATGTATGTATATATACACACACACACACACACACACACACACATATTTACACACACATATTTACTCAAATTCATGTTAATTGGAGTTAATCTTCTGAAAGTAACTTTTATCTGGGATCCCAGCTTTTAACATTTTGAATGATTTTGTTTTTTTTTACTTTTTCCAGTCCCACTACCTATGTCTTGGAAGATGATGAGCCACGCTTTCTGGAGGAAGTAGATTACAGTGCAGAAAGCAATGATGATGGTGATCCCGATCTACAAGACACTGCTGTGGACTTTGAAATCTCTGCAGTGGATGACGAAAGCTTTTCAGATCCTGAAGCTACACGAACGAACTCAGAAACAACACATAACCAGAAAGTATGTTAACATCACATGGGATTGGCAGCAAATGTTTTGGCAGGTGGTATCAACCACAGATTGGTGTAGTTCAAGCCAATGAAAAGAATAAAGGTGTTGCTGGCTTGAGCAAACATTCTGTTCAGTTTCCTTTGGATTGTGCTGTTTCCGCTCTGGGCATATAAAAGTAGCTTCGCTTGTTTCCCCGTCTATATTGCATGGCTTTAATGGCAGACTTGCTGCAAATAAATTCTTCAACTTTGATGGTGTACAGGTGGCTGACATCTCCAAAAAGCCGTTCTGTATTGTCTATTCCATATTGTATAATATTTCTTGCTATAAAACCATACCGTACGTCTGTGTGTAATTTATTCATATTTGCACTGTTCAGGTTGTAAAACTTGGAAACTTTGGTTAAAGTCTCAGTATACACATTATTGTATTAACTCCAGCTCATTTACTACACTGCTTTTTATTTTGACTTGTTTGTGTTTGTTATCTGTTTTTATTGGGACAACATGTCCTGGCTTTTGTTTCTCTCCTCAGTGTTATATTTCATTGTTTTTTTTTAACTTGACGTTTGTTATAACTTAAATACTAAGGGAGAAATTTATTAAAACTGGAGTAGACAGAATCTGGAGTGGTTGCTAATGGTAACCAATCAGCTTCCCTCTTCAGTTTTTTTCAGTTGAGCTGTGAAAATGAAAGATAGAAGCTGATTGGTTGCCGTGGACAACCCTTCCAGATTCACTCTGCACCTGTTTTTGATAATTCCCCTCTTGTTTTGTTGGCCACTCTTTTCACATAAAGGTAAATGTAATACCATACAATTTGCTTGCCTGCTTACTATATTGCAAGTTTTACTTTGTATAAAGAAGTTCTTTTATGTTCTATTGGTAAATTAATTTACATTTTTATTACTTGATCTAGCCCAGTTACTACCAAGTTGTTGCCATAGAGGAAGTCCAAAAATCTTCTCAAACTATAATATTAATTGAATGCTTATCGAGCTATTCTACATGTTTGGCTTGCTGATCCATCAGTGTGTCTATTTAAATATACATCCCCATAGTGTCCTTATTTTACCAGGATGAAAGTTCACCTGTAAAAGGTGCCCATACACCTTACGAATATCGGGCGGTTTTCGTCCGATATTCGTAAGGTTGATGGGCTGTGTACAACCGCAAATACTGTACAAAGTTTTCTAACCTGCTGGATAGTCAAAAGTAGGTCGATCGTACGATTTTTGCAAGGTTGGTGGCGTTTCCGTACGTCAAAATTTGTACAATTAACACTGCTCATGTGCAAACGGTGTATGGGCAGCTTTAGTGTTTGTATGTTTTATGTTGGCATTAATGAAGAAAATGTTTTCTTAACCTACTTTTTCAGCCTTTTAGTCACTGTGCTTGTACACTAATGACTACAAAAGTAAACCCTTTTTTTTTTATGTGCCCAAAAATATGCAAATACAATCACCATATCGCATTTCATCAATTCAAAGGTATGATAATAGAGAAATCAAACCTTAACATGGTTACAAAAGGGTGAAGGGTTTAGAGAAGGCAGGAGATGTGAGCACTCCTTCCATTTCAGCTCACTTTCCAGGTCAGCTATGTTGTCCTAGATTGCTCACTTCTCCTGCCTTCTCCAAACTCTTCACCCTTTAGTGTAGGGCTTGACAAATTTTCTGTGGCTCTAGAAGCCAGCAAAAAATATTAGGAGCCAAGTTTGTTTTTTTAATGCGCGTGTCGTGGGGGCAGAGGAAACTATTTTTTTTACATTTTAGTTTAACTTCATTTTTTAAATTTTTTTTTTTTTTTTACTTATCACATTGGGGGGCTCACAAGCCCTCTATGTTCTAGCACTTTGTAGATGACAGCTTCTGTACTAGACCCCATGTATCACCTTTCCATTTCACTGGGGAACGACAGCTGCCTGCCGAGGCAGCTGAATATAAACACAGCAGGTAGTGGCTGGGAGATGCAGTATATCCAGCCTGCTATTGCAAATTGTACTAGCCAACAGCAGGATGGCTATTGCCTCTTGCTCCCAGCCACTGGGTGGGGCACTTGTTGCTGGCTGGCAATATGAAGAAATCTATTGTATATGAGGCACATTTTGTAACAGTTTTAGAGAATTTAAAACTGACTCTTCTACAGAGCTATTCAAGGAAACATTTAAGACATGCTTGTAAGGGTATAAACTGGAATTTCAGGGCCAGAATGTAGAAAAAAATTCCCCAAATGGTCAAATTATTTTTTATTCATCCTAAGCTGTGAATTATGCTTAGTAAGTGCATTAACCACCTGCATATCAACCAACCTAGCTAGATTTCATATAGCAACAACTTGTTTTTAACTGAGTTTTATGAATATGCTGAGTAGTAGTCTATTGTACATTATATATTGATACACAAGGTGAGCTAACTGCTATTGCACTTAGTGTAAGTACACCTACAGCTGTTTTCTTCATTATGAATGGACACAAGCGGTTTCAGTATCCCCCTCCAATGGTGCAGGCTTATAATACATAGGATGACTTTATGCTGAGCAGTGATGCCATCTATATACTTATGCGGGGAACAGATAAATACCATTGCCATACATTAGAGTAGTTATGTTAAGGCTGCTGTATGACAGAAAAGCTTGGAATCTATGGCGATCTTCAGCAGTATTATGAAGCTTATAGACTTCCCCTGTAATAATCTATAGTGTATTGGTAATATTGCTTGGAGATATTTAAAATGCATTACTGTATTATTCCAAACAACTGATTAAATTCTAGTTAGAGCTCTGAATCATGTATGTAGTTATGTTGGTGTTGGAGGAGTAAAAACGATGACGTTTGTGGCCATGAACTTTTCAATCTAAATTTTTTTTTTCCTTCAGATTACAGCAGAGTGAAATTGTGCCCATGTGTTTTATTATAATGATTATGACTACAAGTTTTGTGTGCCGTTATCAAGGACGTGTAGGTTTTCTAGAAATCTATCAACTCCTCTCCTTAAGTGCACCTTATACACTCTGAGATGATTTGTATTAACATGAGATTTGTCTTCGTTATTTATCACTGATGTGGAGAATGAAACTGGAATTAAAGGGAATATTGGTACTGTTTTTGCTGCTTAGTTGATTTATTCTGGCAAACCGATAACATTTTACTGTGTGTGCTTCATGTTTTGGCAGCAACTGCCATCAAGCATGACATTTATAAAAATAACAATGTATAATGGCAGTCTCCACTTTTTTGGAACAGTTTAGGAATAGGAAGGAAATGATAAAGCAGTGATTTCTGGTGCCAGTATTTGGCTTTGCTTAGGCAAAGTGTGATTTTGGCATAATTAAGCCAGTTACTTTTGGTGTGGAGAATGTAAGTACAGGTAGAAGGGGTTAGGGTTTTAGGGATCAGGATTAGGTTTCAAGGGATTTAAGGCTAAGGTTACCTTTGGGACTATGTTTCACATACAGTATATTCCACATTTAGGGTGTAACATGAAACGTGGTCACATCGACAATCGTTACCATTGGTTTATTCTGTGGATATCGATTAATTGCTCCTCAAACCAGAAGCATTATGAGGCGAGGTCACTATTTGCAGAGAGACCGTCCGCTAAACATCTTTTTACAGGAATTTTGCATTTATTAGTGATCAGCAACAAACATTCAAATTGAGTCGAGACTCAACATACTTAAAAACCTAGGCAGTAGATGCCATTAAGGGTTGTAAGCATCTGAAGGTGAACAAGTCACTGAAAACAGGCAGTGGAGCAAGACCAGAGAATCCACAAAACACTTGGAGCAGCAGAGGCCACAAATCTTTTTCTAAGTCTAGAGACTGGGAAGACTCATAGAGTGTACATGCAACATTATCTCTAATGGATGACATCAGTGCTGAGTTCCCTCATGCGTGACTGTAACCTCATTAAGAGAGCGTCAATTAAAAAAAAAAAAGGTCCTCAATGGCTAAAAATGGGAGTAAGCATCTGCTGATACAGACCAAATGGCCTTTCAGTATAAGGCTGTGCCACCTCTCTGGGACGAAGTTAATGTATTAGCAGTTAGGTATAGAGATATAGTAACCAAAAACAAAGACTCGCTTATACAGGGTAGTGAAACTGCAGAGTCTGGGTCAAATCAGAGGCTGAGCCATGGCTCTGAACCTGGAAAGTGGTCTGCAGCTGACTGAAACCATACGCAAGGGCCTGGAAAGCGCAAATATGCAGAATCCAGTGTCCAGAGGACACACATAGCTCACCTTATCTCACATACCTCATAGTAGAGACTGGGTCAGGTCAGAGATTTCGCCACTGTTCTTTATAAGGGGATGTAGACTCTGACAAGCAGAGGGATCTAAATATGGCAATATAAATTGCCAAACATAGCACACACATGATGTCCTTACTTTCTAAATGAGTCTGCCAAGACTGGGACACACCAGAGGCTGTGCCACTGCTCTGGATCTTGAGAGCACTCTGCTGCTAAATAACATAGTACATGAGGCTAAATAACCTAGTACATGAGGTCTGGATAGTGCCACAAAAAGAGCCCAGTGCCTGAAAGTCAAATTCCAGGCTATCTTCACGGTGTTCGTGGGGGTACTTCAGAGGGTAAGTTTTAAAAAAAATTGGATCACAACAGCGGTTATGCCACGGCTCTGGATCTGATGAGCACTCTGCAGCTACACGAAGGTCTGGAAAGTGCCACAAGCAGCGCTTAGTGCCAGAGGACACATTCCAGGCTATTCTTGCAATCTTCAGCAAGGTCTTGGGAAAGCTTCCATAGTTGCTGCTGAGGATACTCTGCCATATAGAGACCAGGCCAAGAAGCATATTAAACATCTTGATTGAATAGATAAAACAGAATATTAAGTATGTTGATAGAAGAAACAAAATCGGTGAAAAAATTGCATCATTATATCTAGAGTTTTCTTCAGCAGAGCTGACGAAAAAGTGTCTAACCTACTAGGACACTAGAAAAAAACTAGGGCTTGGGTTTATACAGGGTAGGCTTAAAGAAAAAGCTATCACAATCGCCACCTCAGTTTGAAGCTCAGTTTATGGGCATTCTCATGGGGGAGCTAAAGCTAGCACTAGCCCCTGCCCCCTCTTCATTATTACTGGTCTGGATGCTTTATGTGGATCCCCCCCCCCTCGACTGCTGATCTGGAGAGGGAGTGTCCAGTACTAGCTGCTGGCTTGATTCATTAAAAGACAACCCCACAAGCTGAGAGCTAGTATTTGTAGGCACCTGAGCCCAGACTTGCCCACCTCCTACTGAGAAGAGCGTAAGTAGCTGATGGCTTGTGTTTTGAATTGTGGCGGCTATAGACAAGTCCTTCTGAAGGTGGCAGTATAAGCCATATATCCAAAAGTTACTAAATTTCTGTGTTCATTAAAAAACGATAAAAAAAGGAAATTCCATCGCACATGATTGAGGTAAACACAGCTTCGCTGGACTAAGTAAACATTCTATTACTTTAAAAATGAACCTGTGTATCTTAAGCC